GAATTTGACAGTTGAGATATTTTGCATAACCTTGTGAATACAGTGTACTAACAACCGCCGAATTGTATACTTTGAGTTGGAATCTCACTATGTTGCCCAGGCTGGAGTGTGGTGGCACACTCATGGTCACCGCAGCCTCAACCTGCTGGGCTCAGGCAATCCTGCCTGGGCCTCCCAAGGAGCTGGGACAACAGGTGTGCGCCACCATGCCCAGCTAATTTTTTTATTTATTGTAGAAACGAGGTCGCGCCATGTTGCCCAGGCTGGTCTTGAACTCCGGGTCTCAGGCAACCTTCTCACTTTAGCCTCCCAAAGTGCTGGGATTATAGGCATGAGACACCGTGCCAGGTCTGAATTGTATATTTCAAAATGTTGAATTTGATAGTATGTGGGTTATATCTCAATTTTAAGATTTCTTGGCTGGGCCTGGTGGCGCCTGTAGCCCCAGCTATTCGGGAGGCTGAGCCAGGAGATTGCTTGATCCCAGGAACTGGAGGCTGCAGTATGCTAGGATCACACCACTGGCCGGGCTCGGTGGCTCAGTCCGTCATCCCAGCACTTTGGGAGGCGGAGGCGAGTGAATTGCCTGAGCCTGCGGGTTCGAGACCAGCCCGGGCAACTTGTCAAGACCTCATCTCTACAATAAATGAAAAAACAAGCTGGGCATAGTAGCGTGCACCTGTAGTTCTGGCTGCTTGGAAGGCTGAGGCGGAAGGATCGCCGGAGCCCAGCACTCCAGCCCGAGCAATGGAGCGAGACTCCAACTCAAAAAAAAAAAAAGATCACGCCCCTGCCCTCCAGCCTGGGCAACAGAACCAGACCTTGTCTCTAAAATAAACAAAAGACCAATAATAGGAGGAATAAAAGAAAAAGTCCGCCAAGCTCAGTGGCTCAGCGTGTAATCCCGCGCCTTTGGGAGGCTGAGGTGAATGGATTGCCTGAGCCCGCGGGTTCGAGACCCACCTGGGCAGCGAGACCTCATCTCTACAATAAATCAGAGGCGTGGTAGCCCGCGCCTGTAATTCTGGCTACTCGGAAGGTGGAGGCGGAAGGATCGCCGGAGCCCAGCGGATCGAGGCTGCGGTGGCCGGGAGCGGCCACTGCGCTCCAGTCTGGGCAACAGAGTGAGACTCCAAGTCAAAAAAAAAAAGAAAAAGTCCGTGTAGAACCTCAGCGTGGCGGAACCGAGGAGGGCCGAGCGCCTTGAGCTCCACCAGAGAGGTGCCCGAAGCCCCCAGGGACCAACCCGCTTCCCGAGGACGACGCTGGCTACACCCTTTCCCCCTCCCTGAATCCACCCAAATCTCACCCAATTCTCAAAGGCAACTTTTTCCCCCAGAACTTGAAGTAATCCTGAAGTTCGTCTGAAGATCTACTGAGGGTCATCAGGGAAATACACAAACAGGCCAGGATCATGCCTTTGGGAGGCCGAGGTAGGAGGATCTCTTGAGGCCTGGGGTTTGAGGCCAGCCTGGGCAACAGAGCAAGACCTCATCTCTATAAAAAAATATATACATATATAATTTTACACAATAATTTATTTATTTTATTTTCTAGTTGGAGTCTCACTCTGTTGTCCAGGAGTGTCAGGCACGTGGATGGCCACCGCAACCCCGACCGGCTGGGCTCTGGCGATCCCTCGGCCTCAGCCTTGCAAGTGGCCTGAACTACAGGCACGCGCCACCACGCCCGGCTAATTTTTTGATTGCTTGTAGAAATGAGGTCTCGCCAAGTTGCCCGGGCAGGTCTCGAACCCGCGGGCTCAGGCCATCCACTCGCCTTGGCCACCCAAAGTGCTGGGATGACAGGCTGAGGCACGGAGCCCAGCCCAATAATTTATTTTTTTTTAACAATTTTTTTTTTTTTTTTTCACAAAAAGCATCAGAAAACCGTGTCAGGAAACGCCCTTCCCTCCCCCACCCCCTACCCCCGCATTTCCGGGCACCTGCACTTTAAAAGGCCTCTACCCCGGGCGGGGTCACTGTGCCCTCTAGGGGCGAGACGCGGCCACACAGCATTATCGGGGCGCTGGCTGGGGCCCAGCCCTGCGGCCTCTGCAGCTCCTTCTGTTGGACTCCCAGGGCCAGGAGCTGCACCCCAAGACGCGAAAGGCCGATCTGACGGTCAGCATGGCCTGTCCTGCAACCCCGACACCCCAGGGAGGGCCCCGAGATTGCCACCCAGCCCCCACATTTTCACACGTATTTCCTAAAGCTCAGGGCAAATTGATTTGTCTGTCACAGAGCTGGCTGGTAACGGCTGGGCCCAGGCCGCCCCAGTCTCCTCCTCTGAACCTTCTGCTCCCGGTGGAAAGCTTTCTCGGCCGGGTGTGTTGGCTCAGCCTGTTATCCCAGCACATTGGGAGGCCGAGGCGAGAGGGTTGCCTGAGCCCAGGGGTTCGAGACCAGCCTGGGCAATTTGGTGAGGCCTCGTCTCTACAATAAATCAAAAAATAAGACAGGCGTGGTGGCGTGCGCCTGTAGTTCCAGCTACCTGGAAGGCTGAGGTGGAAAGACTGCCAGAGCCCAGCACGTCCAGGCTGCGGTGGCCATGGAGGTGGCACTGCACTCCAGCCTGGGTGCAGAGTGAGACTCCAACTAAAAAAAAGAAAGTTTTCTCCTCCATTTTCTTCCACAAACAAGGCAGAGAGTTGCTTACATTTGGAGAGAGCGGAACGTAACGCTCGGCCTAAATAAAAGTAAAAAAACTGGCCTGGCGCAGGGGCTCACACCGTGGGTCATCCCAGTGCTTTGGGAGGCCGAGGCAGGAGGACTGCTTGAGCCCAGGAGTTCGAGACCAGCTTGGACAACAGAGCAAGACCTCATCTCTATAAAAAAACAAAGAAGCAGCCGGGCTTGGTGGCTCAGCCTGTAATCCCGCGCCTTTGGGAGGCTGAGGTGAGTGGATTGCCCGAGCCCGCGGGTTCGAGACCCGCTTGGGCAGCGAGACCTCATCTCTACAATAAGTCAAAAAATCAGCCGGGCGTGGTAGCGCATGCCTGTAATTCTGGCTACTCGGAAGGCTGAGGCGGAAGGATCGCCGGAGCCCAGCAGGTCGAGGCTGCGGTGGCCAGGAGCGGCCACTGCACTCCAGTCTGGGCGACAGAGTGAGACTCCAACTCAAAAAAAAAAAAACAAAAAACAAAGAAGCGAACCAGGTGTGGCAGGCTGGTCTCAAACTCCTGGGCTCGAGCGGTGCTCCTGCCTTGGCCTCCCCAAGTGCTGGGATGACAGGCGGGAGCCGCCGTGCCTGGGTAGGTATTTTCTCTGACAGGCTGTTTCCCACCGTGGGTGTTTTTCTGGGAGTACGGTGCTCAGCTACTTGGAAACCTGATCCCAGGAGGTCGAGGCTGCGGTGGCCGTGAGCATGGCTCTGCCCTCCAGCCTGGGCGACAGAGTGAGACTTTGACCCAGAAAAACACGAAAACCTTGAAACTCGACGCAGGCTTCTTCACCCAGCTTCCTTGGCCCATTTTTCTAGATATTTCTGTCTTGGTGGCCCCAACCTCCTGCCCATGAAACTAAATTCTATCCCCCTACTGTGTGTGTGTTTTCCATTCGGGCTCAAACCCCTGTGACTTCCAAGACGTTCTCGGCCCGAGAACCAAGGCTGCCCTGGACACGCCGTATCCCCAACGACGAGGCGGGAGATCAAAGACCACCAGTGGCTGCAGGCAGCATGACACTGTTTATTCTGATGTCCGCAGGCGGCTCGCGGCGGGTGACGCTCCCACCTCCTCCTGCCATCCGCCAGTGCCCACCTCCCTGCCCCCGCGGGAAGGAGCGCGGGGCGTCCGGGACAGCCTCGTCCCTGGGAGCTGGTGGGGCCGCGGTCGAGGCGGCACCTTCCATCCAACAGCCCCGGTCTTGTGCAGCTGCGAGGCCCGGGCCGGGGTCCCCCGAGCACAGCCCTGCGGTTTCTTTAAGGATCTGGGGCGGGCACCCAGGCCTCGGGCTGGGGCAGGGGCGGCGCGTTAACTGCACTTTGCTGACTTCCTGGCAGACGCTGGGGAGGCAGGGGACGGCCTTTCTCTCTCGTGACCGTCCCAAGCACCCCGGGCGTCCGTGGTACCTGGGTCTGGGACAGTGCCAGGTCGGGGGGAAGGGCCACAGGGGCGAAGGCCACTGACAACCCAGGGGTCGGCCGGGCAGGGTGTGGCTTTCGTGGGTCACGGCCCGTCCCACCCTCCAGGGTCGTGGGGAGACAGCCCGCGGATTTTGGTCCTGTGGCCCTGGGGACCATGGAGGCCACGCAGACAAAGGGCGTCAGGAGGAGGGTCACAGGCACGGAGGGCTTTTCTGGTGGAACTGGAAGATTCCACACGGGAGAGGGGTGCCGGGGGCCATCCCACAGTCATCAGGGAAGGGGAAGGCCCTGCAGGGGCGCACACTAGTTATAGGTAAAAAACAAAAACTTCTTAAAAAAATCTGAAGATGCTTGCACACGGGACTGTATGGAAATGAAACTGCTTAGGACCCGTGAGGGAAGCAGCTGAGCCCTGCGGTGCAGGACGCAGCGCGGACGCCAGGACAGGGCCAGACGTCGGAGGGAAGTGGCGAAGAGGATGACGGGAGCGGGCGGCAGTCCAGGGCAGGCCTGCCAGGGGGACCCGCGGCCCAGAGGCCCGGAACAGGAGCCCAGCCTCTCCCTCCCAGGCGGGCCCGGGCAGAGCCGAGGCCATGGGCGGCCCCGGGCCGGGCCGGCCCTCCCACGAGGTCCAGGCGGGGTGTGGTGGGGCCACCCCAGAAGCCCTCCAGCCTCCTGGAGAAGGGGTGGGTCTGAACACACAGTGGGTTTTCCCGGTGGCTGCAAACGCATGGACTGAAGTTCAGGTCCAGGCCCGTGGGAGGAAGGGTGTCCGGACTGGGGCTCCCAGGACACCGCTTCTGGCCTGGCAGCCCGGTGGGGGCCTGGGGTGGGGTGCAGAGGAGCCTGAGGGGTCTCAGCGTCGTCCTCGTGTCCCCGCAGTCCGGCGTGCCCGGGCGCTGGGCCCGCCGCGCCTAGTGGCACATCCGGGTGGTCATCTCTTTCTGTGAAGGGCAAGCAGGACACTGGTCTCGACGGCTGCTCACAAGCGGGCAGCGGGCTCGCCCGGACCCCCAGACAGAGCCCAACGGGGCGACGCGCGTCTTCCAGAGCAGAGCGACAGTCTAGACGGGCAGGGACTCGACTCGGCCCACCCGCCTCCAAGGCACACACGGACCGGGTTGCCCGTGCCAGGTAAGCGCTATGGACAAAAGCAGGCAGGCTGCCCGGGCCGCAGCGCTCACCCTGCCTTCTACAGGCTTTGAGACACCGGAAGAAGGTTCTGGAAGGCAGCCAGGAAGGAAGAGGAAGATCCTGACTACTGCCTGTAGACTCACCAAGACATCGTCATCGTTATCAACATTTTTTCGAGTCAGAATCTCACTTTCTCTCAGGCTGGAGGGCAGTGGCACCATGGCCGCTCACCGCAGCCTTGGCCTCCTGAGTTCAGGCAATCCTCACCTCAGTCTCCCGAATGGTTGAGACGACAAGCGCCACCCTGCCGGGCTTATTTGAAAGATTTTTGGGGGCCAGGCTCGGTGGCTCAGCCTGTCATCCCAGCGCTTTGGGAGGCTGAGGTGAGTGGATTGCCAGAGCCTGCGGGTTCAAGACCCGCCTGGGCAACTTGGCGAGACCTCGTGCGACAATAAATCAAAAACTAGCCGGGCGTGGTAGCGCGCGCCTGTAGTTCCGGCTCCTTGGAAGGCCGAGGCGGAAGGATCGCCGGAGCCCACAGCGTGCAGGCTGCGGTGGCCGGGCGGTGGCCGGGAGCATGCCACCGCACTCCAGTCCGGGCCACAGAGTGAGACTCCGACTCAAGAAAATAAAATAAAAATAAAAAAGAACAGGCCGAGTGGCCCGGCCT